GGTTCCAGGAGGTGCACTCAAAAGTGATACTAGTAAGTATATGTGCAAGAACTTGGTTCGCAACCGAGCTTAAAACAATACGTTTAACTAAAATTCAGCGTACTCTTTTGTTCCGGTTGTTTTCGAACAATATTATTGTTTGCTATGATAAACGACAGAGATACTGTTTGTTACAATTCTTTTGAGAATCAGCCATAGCACTTAACAACGTTATTTTTCTGTTCAGAAATTCTATAGAAATATCTTATTAGATGAATCGTGATAAACTAACCCTACCCAATTGACCCCTTAGACAAATGTTTAACAATACTAAGTTGTATCAACAACTGTACCAGACTCTTTTTGAGAGGAAAGGGTTTCAACTGCACTTCACAAAATATTGTTTAAATTTAATATATTTATTTATCACACACCCGTGCCGATTTTGCGACTCCGTAAAAATGGTATTGCACGGCCGTGCATATATTTTGACGTGACGTCATTCGCGTTATACAAACACGCTAAATGTTAGCGTTATACTATAGGCGCGTCAATGAAAAATGACTCTTATTTCACTTTAAACGGTCTGTATATTGGGTATGCGATAAAAAAAAATTAAAAAATTCGTTGTAATTTTTCATTATTTAAAAATTAAATTGCCCCTTGGGAATTTAAAAAAATTTATTATGCCGCCAGAGGTCGCATAATAAAATTTTTATTAAACTCGTGCAATAAATTTCTTTAATTGAACAAAAACTCATTCAATACCCTCTATAAAGGGGAACAAAAAAAATTTAAAAAATCAGAAAAAGTGCAAAATCAATAAAAACTTTTTTTATCCATATATTAGGGCAAAAATTTTTGGGTTATTTTACTAAATTTCTAAATTTAAAGCCGCATATAAAGAATTTAAAATTCTTTGGCCCGGGGAAACTTCAAAACGTTACTACTTTCTCGATAAAATTTGAACTTTCCCGGAAAAACGTTAAAATAAAAAAAAATTTTAATCCCTTTTTTCATTTTTTTTTACGACTGCGGTTCAAATATGAATAATAGTGATTATTTGTCTATATATTTTCACAAAAAGATCACGTGACTTTATTAATCATACATTCAAACTATGATTAATCTTCACTGAACATATATTTTTACTATTTAACATATTTCAAAATTAAACGAAAATATGCAAATTAGATACCGATTAGCATAATGTTTACCACAAGCGTCTATCAACAAATAAAACCGGTAATAAGATTTTATTTTTTCAATTTCCAAAACAGATGACTCAACCGACAATGTCGAAATCAAGCGCGCAGAGGTACCGTTTTAAAATGAAATATTCAAATATTACAAATATCGACTTTAACATTAAAAACTGCATGCTTTCAGATAAGCCAAAATATTTAAGAAATTCTAACTTGAAAACAATGTACATTTTTTTTTTAAAAGACTAGAAAGATTCAAGTAATAATTTGCATGTTATATGCCTTTAATGACTATTTTTGCACTATTTATCACCATATTTGTACTGCTTGACTACCGCAGTAAGGCTTATTTTTACATATTTTGACATATCTTTGGTAATTGTCGTAGATACATTACGTTATTTACTCTTTTGTTTACTTGACATTAAATTTTGTTCTTGTTTTTTTTTTACTTTTCAATACATTAAAAAAAAAATTCATTAGAAAGATCAAGAGTCTGGAGATGTGCTGCTTGAAATTCTGTGTAGGTAGGATCCCCGTGTCACAGTGTTTTAGGTTGCTTACATCGGAACGTTTGTCCGCGAATATAATCTAAGATTAGTGATAAAATAAAAAATATCTTGATTAAATCAGAAATATCTGAAAGTTGGTAAAGTCGTAAGGATACAACATATTTAGTCTTTTCTTGCACGGACTAGAGTCTCCTCCCAAATCATCATTTTTCAGGTTACCTTATTTTCACATTATACATCAAACGCAAATGAATCGTCGTATAAAAACGTTTTGTTGAATTATCTTCTTTTTTAACCATACCAGTGACTACAGTGCGTAGTTTGTAGTAGTTTTAGTACTTGTATCATGCACGGGTATTTTAAGCCAACTTGACTAAAATTAAAACAATCTGTCCTGTCTATATGTGCATGCATTCCATTCCGTTCAGTACATTGGAGGACGAACTTGCTTGACTACATTAAAATGATAGCGGAACTAGTCGTTATTACAAGACTAACGACGTATGGTATCAAGGAAATCCTGCAATATGTAATAAAATCATGTTGTGTTTTTTTTTCATTCTTAAGTTTTTTATAGGAAGCATTCAGATTATTTCTCTACCTGTGACACATTAGGTGGTTGAGAAATCCTCCCAAACAACTTTTGTACGATTTAAATCAGCAATGCAGAGAGGAGATCGTTTGGTGAACACACCAGAAGCGAAACATGCTTTATTGACGGAGCCTTGCTAAGTTGCTAGTGTTTAAATTAAATCCAAATCATTAACTGCACAAAATGATCGAATTTAACGAATTGAATGTACTCGTATGCGTTCAGTGACGAGGTATAACAACTCCAAAAAAACTGTTTTGTAAAGGCTGGAAACAGACATAACCAAATAACTTGATGATGTCCATATTTCAGAAGACCATTGAACATAGAAATTCGCAAATACTTTGGCATATCAGCAGTCCAATTGTTAGCGCCAAAATTTTTCTACACCATTGCGTTTGCGATTCCTTTAACGTAAGTTCATTGCCGCCTTCCTTCAAGGTTTATATTTTCATTTAAAACAATTATCAATCGGTCCAATTTTTCCCAAACGTGCTTTTTTTTAAATCTTCCGCGTGCTTTTTTTTCCCCTTTTTCAGAAGTGAACTTAAAATGTGTTCAGCTTGCTCTTTATTACTAGTGAATTCATCATTAGAAATGTGACCATAAGTACCAGCTCACACCCGTGAGTGTCTTGTTAGTTTAGCAAGACTATTTCTAAAATTTAAATAAGATTTTGTTTTCCCTTTAAGTGTTACATGTACCACGCTAAATTCCAAAGTATCGAACAGAGCTGATCATACTAAGATTGCACGGATGTTCGGCAGATCATGTTCTTCACTTGTTGCATGGTTAGACTAATATGCCGTAAGCAGACTAATGATTTAGCTATATGTATATTCAAACGTCGTCGCTTTAGTAAGACTTCCTGTAATTTTACGGGGAAATTCCAAAATTATGGATGGATACAGTAAACATTTATTGCTCTTCTTGCATCATTTTTAAGTACGTTTTACCATACATGTACTTATCATCATATCACAAAGTATTGTGAATTCACAAGTGCTAACACCATTCTGAAGTGGTTCTTTATCTGCACTCCTTATAAAGCCGATGCCAAAATAATGTTTCTGACAACATTAACGATAGTTCTAAGTAATAAATGTATGGTCGAACACTTGGTTGCAGTGGTCGTGTTTGTGTTGGTAGTTTTCATTCCGGATCACGGCTTAATTTACCAGAGCAAAATTCAGCCACCCCATTGTTCCTGGCTAGGCTGTCAACCAGTTTACTAGTACAAGGTACCTTCTTCTATTTTCGCAATTAACTGAAACCTCTGTACATACCAGAGCAGAGGTACATAGAAAGTGACCGAAAGATTAGCTAAGGGCGTAAACTTTGGTTGCAATTGACTTAAAGATATTAACAACCCAACAAAAAGGATTAGCCTTAATCATCAACATAAACAAGACCAGTTTGTAGTCCATGCAGTCTTAGTCAAACGGAATGAACCTGTTGGCTATACATATCAGATTTTATTTTTTATTTCCCCGAATGATAATGAAAATTTAGATATACTGAAGACGGTCAATTTCCATATTTTTATAGTTAAGGCAGACAGCATGGTTAAATGGAATATTGATGGATAATCAATTTGTATTGAGAAGACAGTTTTCCCCAATCGGATAAAAACAATCAGGACGGCATGACAATGCCAAACATTGACAAGAATAAACCCAATTTTGTATCCAATTTGGGTATATGCAATATAAAATCAAAGGCATATTACAGATAAAAGCGGCAGGGGAGAGCAGCAGGCCGCAGCAGAAATAACCAAAACAAGTAAACTTTTGCTCCCTTTGAAATTTTATGAAAAATCAACCTCCAGTGGTTGGTTGGAATTCGGTGCTACCATGATATTCGCCCTTTAATGAATTGGACTTCAGTTTAATTCGTACAATTGCCGAAAACTTTGGACAAAAAAGAGTTTCATACAAAGAGCAGACCATATTTGTCTTTGTAGTACATGTACATGTAACACATTTTAAAGGCCCATTATGCCTCATAAATGCTTTTACTTTAATTACTCAAAAGTTCTTGGTGTACTTTTATAGTATCCAAAAGGTTACTCATTGGCCAAAAACCTGAACTATTTTTTTCATCTGTTGGTTTTTGGCAGTAAGTACAGGTATAGTAACTAAGTATTTTATATAGAAGTCAATATACTACTTAGTTATCATTTTGATACTTTTATAACACACTATTTCAAATTTTAGCTACTTTTTAAGGTAACAATCATCTAAATATCTCTCTATTACCATTATGAAGTTCACGTTTGCCCTTCTAAGGAAATTAAATGTATTTGTTTTTGAGGCATAATGTGCCTTTTAGCGTCCTATATTACGCCCTAGGTTATTTGGTGCGCAAAACTTGCTACATTATTATAAAATGGAAACTGGAACAAACTAATTTTCTCAAGGTGTTCAATAGATAACAGCTTATAAATCACTCTGTCAGAGGGAACTATTATGTATATTTATATTTCCTTAATTTGATTATGTCAAGCTGTTTTGAGTGTATTGTTTACGTCTGCAAAAAATTATACAACAAGTGTGTGTCTGCGGCGATATTCGAGGAAGATACGCCTTTATCATGTGAGAAGTACACATGTGGGATACTTACTGTTTTAAAGGGTTTCCAGACAGCACTCATAATAGTATTATAATATGATTAGCTGGAATATTACATTTATGACAAACTTTTTTTGTTCTGTAACAGCGTGACAGGCATGCGCAGTGACGTTCCTTTAGCAATTGAACGGAAAATCCTATAAACATTTGGTGATTAACAAATACCTGTGTGTTTATAAGGAGAAAGACAGAATTTAACATTATACTGTGTATAGCTAGACGATGAGTTCCCAAAAGCAAGGTAAGTTTTTTTTTTCATAGGCATTGTATGTATGTCTGATATAAAAGAAAACGTAAATTGATAAGGTTTATCAAAACTTTAAGTCCACTTCAGTCATAAAAACCCCTCGGGGAAAACTCGGCCATTTAAATTGTACTTTTATAGCTGTATCAATATCGATTTTCTTGACTGGGCGTTGCCATTTATTGTGTGAAGCAACATTGTTGAATATTTACCTTTTGCAGTGTGTAACTTTAAAGTGGTATGATGCCCATGTTATTTATTATATTCATTTTTTTATGATTACTTTAGTTGAATTATATATACATTTCAAAAAGTCGACTATTTTAATGAAGATTGGCCCAACATTTAATAATTGCAAATGTCTATGAAAAGACTATGAAAACTGCGTAAAAAACAAAAAGACAGACTGTCTCTCTTTTTCTTTCCGAAACATTCTTAAGGATATAAATAGAAATTTCCATGTGTCACGTGGGTTATTCTATATTCATTAAAATTGAAAATAAATATGGCAAAATGTAAACTATTGCTATCCTAACATTTACACTTGGGCATGTCACTTTAAGGTAACTTCATGATATATATGCTTTTTTATGCCTATCGATCTTTTTATGTAAACTTTTAAAGAAAATTTACGATCTCTCCAAAATTTTATTACGTATCACATGTATTATGTACATGTTTTATTTTCAAGGCTACGGTCATCATGATCAAAACGCTCCACCGCCGTACGGCCAGCCTGCACAACCGCCCTATGGTCAACCAGCACAACCGCCTTACGGTCAATCAGCAAAACCACCCTACGGTCAACCAGCACAACCGCCGTACGGTCAACCCGGGCAGCCGTATGGTCAACCGGGATATGGGCAACCTGGTCAGCCTTACACCAGTACGCAGCAAGTTGTACGTATATAATAAACTAGACCGTACCCAGGGAGTTACGAAAATAAGTGAGGGTGGGTGTTGGGGCAATGGGACATTATTTGACTTTCCTCTTTATCCGATGCGAAATAGTTCGTTTATTTTTATATTCAACTGGAAGTTCGGGTGATTTAAGTGGGGTATTTAATTTAAATTAACCATTAAATGCACCCGCGATGCAGGATCCCTACCAAATGTTTAAATAACCGAAAGTAGTAGTTGTCCCCTCGGGCGCCTGGATAATTAATACAGATATTTGAAATAATTTACATAGAAGTGTAATTTATATAGACAGTTTATGCATATTTACAAATATGTTTTTGTTTACTTGCCGCATGTATTCAATGGTCATGCTTAGATAAGCATTTAATATGTAAGAAGTATAAATTTCATTTCTCATGTCAAATATACACCCAGACACCAATAATTGCGACTTTAATGCAAAAAGTGACCTACATTTATATTGAACACAACAACAAAATACCGTATTTATAAGCCACAGATTTTAATAATATACATGTAACTGTTGTAAAAAAAACTACTACACTTCCAAGTGTCGAATATTCCAAGTGCTTTAATATGTAGAATGATCATGTTTACTACATAAACACAGACATTTTAGTTTGACCTTGAATTTGAACGCACAATGTATCAGATTTTATACTGCAGCGATGGTGCGGAACTTTTCATATAAGCTTTTAAGGCCTCCGCAGTAATAAAATATTTATTTCTCAAACAGTTTTATTTTTGACGCGTCATGTAACAGAAACCTAAAAATTAACATAGACCGTACAGCCGGTTCATCTTTTGCATTTGAGAATGAAGTACAGCACAACAACAACTAAATCTGTAGGAAATGCGAAACCCTTTTCGGTTTATTTTGGTAATCTTCTAACAAAAAATGCCTTTATAGTTTTGTGGCCGAAAAAGGCATGGAAAAGGTGATTGTTAAAGAACCCCCTCCCCCCCTTACAATCACGGACCTGACATATTGAGATAATTGTAATAAAATATGGAAATATTCTATTAGCAAATAAAGAGGTCATCTTAATTCTTGTTGGAAAAGTTCATTTAAATACGTAATACTTAAGGGCCATAATTATAGTAGTTCTTAACATTATCTACAACTAGAGAAATTACAAATGCAACAAATAGTGTTAATTTAAACATATTTATTTAAGCTCGGTTGCGAAACAATTTCATACAACTATAATCAACCTCCTTCGCGTCCACTTCCTTGAACAAAGCAGTACTGGTGACATATAAAGAAACATGATTTTGACCAGAGTATGACTCGAATCCATGATCTCTGGGTTGAGAAGCAGACTTTTTAATTAGTGTCAACTGACGTCATCGTTTCTCTTGGCCTCAATATTGTTGATCCTAATTATTTTTGACAGTATCATTTATTTTGTACTCTTATAGAAAAAACATGACACGAGTCTATTAAGGCTACCACTTGAATAAAAACAAGAAACATACAACCTAATGCACGGTACCAACCGTCATACTAAATCAATGAATTATACCCCCCCCCCCCCCAACATCGCATAATTTCTTTTGCAATTTACTGTTGTTTCAGGCAGTGTTTTTGTGTCGCCTTGAAAAAAGACGATATTTAGGGGTTACTTTTGTCGGCGGTGTTATTATCGGTGTCGGCGTCGTTGTCCCCTTAAGCTTGTCCGGAACATAAGTCAGTCATTATATTAAGTCGGATTGACTTCAAACTTGGTATACATGCTTCTTACAATGACCCGAAGTGCAGTGCACAAGAACCGGTACTCTGCTTTTCTTATTTTTTGAGTTATTGCCCTTTGTTAATTTTCATACTTTATATTTGTCCGGGCCATTTCTCCTAAAGTATCAAATCTATGGACTTGAAACTGAACTGGTACTCTGCATTTCTTATTTTATGAGTTATTGCCCTTTGTTAATTTTCATACTTTATTTTTGTCCGGGCCAGTTCTCCTAAAGTATAAAAGCTATGGACTTGAAACTTCATAGGATAATAGATCTCATTAAGGAGAAGTGCAGTGCACAAGAACTTGTACTCTGCATTTCTTATTTTTTGAGTTATCGCCCTTTGTTTATTTTTCATACTTTATTTTTGTCCAGGCCATTTCTCCTTAAGTATAAAAGCTATGGCTATGAAACTTCATAGGATGATAGATCTCATTAAGAAGAAGTGCAGTGCCCAAGAACTGGTACTCTGCATTTCTTATTTTTTGAGTTATTGCCCTTGTTAATTTTCAAACTCTATTTTTGTCCAGGCCATTTCTCATAAATTATAAAAGCACCAGTTATTCGATTCCATTTAGTCACACAGTGATAAACGGTGGCTGCAATTCTAATGCCTCAACCATTATGTCTTCATCCCCCAGCCACAAACGGCATAAAATATAACTAACACTGTAGTAAGTCGTTGCTGATTGAATAGCAAACAGTGCGTACCATGAATCATCTAATTACATCAAATAAAATAATCATGTGAGTTTATAGAGTGGGAGGGGGTATCATATTTCCGGCGTTTGTTGTGACACTTTTTGTTCGGAAATGATAACTTAGTCGATATGAAAAATCGCCAGTTTAAATCTTTATTAATTAAGATATAAACTGTTAACAATTATCAATGACAATGTTAATTAATTTAATATTTTGCCAAATTTGAATGCTTTTTAACTTTAGTTAAAAGTATTATAGTTGATAATTAAAGGCTATATAAACGTATTTATTGTACGTGAATTAAGTAAACTACAAAAACTGCTAGCCAAAGATTTTGTGATAAACGAAAAAGATAACAAAATCATTGCATTTCACTTATAAATGTACAAACTCATTCGGAAATCCTCGGTATTCTAATAACAGCTACTATAAGTCTTTATATTATATGCTAATAAGCGTGCAGGGTTATATGACATCCTTCGTGAAAGCAATAAAATCTTACCCACAAACATGACAGCCTGTTGAGTGTTGGTGGTGGGGGAGAAATGCGAGCACTGTTAAGTGTTGAGAATGGAGTACAGCTCAGTCGGTGCTAGGGGGCGTGACGGATGTTGCACTTTGTCATTATCCTTCATTTACAGACACAATCAAACCGAGTCTGTAATTTTCATGTAATTTTGTTCTGATTAATGCTTCCGAGGGATCACTTTGTATCCAGACTTTTATCTTTGTTCGATATAGCATGTCACCTTGCGTCATAACCGTCAAAGATTATGTAATATGTACAATACAGCCAAATTTTCATATCAAAGTACGCGAAGCACGGAAATACATAGGCGATGAAAGGAACGTGGTGTTTATAAAAAACCCTAAATATTTGCATTTGATGTCCAGCGACAATATATTTTCGAAATAGAAAAATACGAATGATTTTAGGGGCGTGAGAGGCACATTTTGCTCCAAATATGCCCCTACCTGAATAATTATTTGATATGGAAGTCAAAATACTACTTTCTTTACATTTTGCTACTTTTATGACAAATAATTGCACATTCAAGCCAACTTTCATCAGGTGATAATAATTTAGAATGTTCTAAAACCATTATTTAACGTTAAAAAAAACCAACAAATTTTGCTCTTTTCTAATAAATGGAAAAACTGTTCGTTTCTGAGGCGTATTGTCACTGCGGTATACCGTACCCCGGATATTGCTCGATATAATGAGGACTTTCATTCCATTTCGCGACTTTGAACGAGGAAGGAGGTATGTTCAGTGACGGTATTAAGTCATTTGTAATTGGTTTGATATAATTTTTATAGAAAAACAAAATACTTCGATAATTTCTCTAGTTGCTGAAACCCCAAAAATGTTAAGAAATAGCTTTGAAATGTAATTAGGAGGTATAATTTGTCTCTTTGCTCACGTGATAAATGAGCTCGGATCAGTCAAATTTGATGTTTTTGCGCATATACTCCCTCAAAAGAAAAACTTGAATCGATTGAAATGTGATAATGATGATAATGTTTTTGATGTTAATGCTCAATTAAGAACAGAACCCAGATGACAGTGCATTTTGATAACAGATACACATGTCAGTGTACCGAGTATTGCGTTGGAGTTGCCCGCCGGTGTCACGAGTATTGCTTTTTAGTGTAACGAGTATTGGTTATCAATATAGAGTAAATGAAAGTAGTAAACACAGAGTATTTACCACATTTGATTTTAAATATTTCTTATTGTGTATACTTATTTACACTATATGTGCACAATATGCAGTGTTCGGAGGTACTTTACTGGAAACATCTGTGAATAATCCAGATTTTCATTCCTGATCATGAAAAATCTCAATCGAACTTAGCAATTTTCTGTGTTTACAAAGTTCTCGTTGCTATCGAAGGATCAACCTTTCCAGAATTTGTTAATAATTTTTGCATATCATACTTTAAATAGTAAAAAAATGCATTCAAAATGCATTAATGATGCCTCAAGATTGTCAATATTAGACGGTATTGAGCAAGTGTGCCAATATCTAATTCCACCGACTTCCTACTACTAGTATGCTAAAAATCCATATAAAGGTAACTTTCGGTCATTTTGTACCTGCTCTCTAGCAACGGCAGACCGTCTGCGTGTGAAATCTGTAACGCCATTAGCAATGTGTTACTGTATGACTGCCGAGCGAATACAGCTCAAAAAAATCGAAAAATGGATTTCGAAAAGATTATGATAAAGGGCAGCAGATGCAATAAGAAGGTTATGTTCCTTATTACCACATAAAGGTGTGTTTTAGGGCTGTCTTGTGCTGTCCTGTTTTTGTTTCGGGTCCGCCTGGTCTCCTTGCCACTGGTTCGTGTTGCTGGGGCATAGGGGGGTTGCGTTCATTAAACGACGCCTTTCCTTTTCTTGTTTATCATATTTGAAGGCTTTACACCCCACTTCTTTTGAGGCCTCAAATAGTTTAAAACATGCGCTATTTAGAAATTTTGAGTTTAAGGAAATTAATGTTGTTCAAAAGAGTGATCACTTTTTCGGCACCCCAGTAAAAAGGTACATCAAGGAGGTGCCACAGGGGAGGTGTACCCCCTTCTGTTTTGGGGTTAGAAGTGGGATAGTAGCTCCTCTTATCGACGAGAAGATTTGGGACTTGTGAGGGGGGGGGGGGCTAAAATGGCCTAAAGTTGAATTAAACGTACCGTGTAATCAACGCCGGAAATGTTAGACTATATCTCAATCAATTGAGAAGTTGCTGCACCTTGAAATCAGTTTTGATGGGGGAAAACAACGCAAAAAAGAGATTTTTTGGAATTTTGAGACGTCCCCCCGTTGTCATGGTAACTGGAAATTTCAAATTGAGCATGGTGTTCCACATACTATTGTCCAGCCAACATTTTTGCCCAGTTTGATCAGTATTGAAGCATTTTTTGATAGTTTCATAGCAGTTTGAACTTGTAAAAGAGGCTTAAATCAATGTTTTTTTTCTTTTCTTTTTTTCAGAGATGGGTCTCTCTTGAGACATGCATTTAAAGATTTTTCATCGTCAATTTTGATGGTTCATCCCTGCTCCCGACCTTGCTTCTGACCCTGCACACACTTTATTTCATCCGTAGTGTGATTTTCAATCAAATTGGAAATTAAATCTCTGTATTTGCCCGTAGGAAATTAACAGTAATAATACTGAAAATGCATTGTTAAATCTAAATATTTGAATAGATATCATATAAACAAAACATTATCAGCAGAATGTAATGGAATCGATAAACAGAGTTGACGTGAAAATTAGACACAAATATCGATTTTTCATACTTATGTGCTCATTTTGTTTTGCAAAACACTGTACACTTACGTTGGGCTATTTTGCAATACTTTGTACACTTACAATCAATACTCGGTACACTTTCTTGTATCTTTTTGGCCTGTATTTTTTTTATATTTTCACACTTTTTGCCTGAAATTTGGACAAAGCATACTCAGATTGTGAATAAAAAAATTGCTTAATTCATTTTCTTTTATATTGATAATCGATTCTACAGTATCGCGGTCAGTATTTCCTAGTGAGCAGCAGATCGTTGAGAGGCAGTTTAATCAATTTTACAAATACCTGTAATACTTTGACGTCTTTTAGAGCTATAAAAATACCTCTAGATATATAAAACCCGTTGAAATAAATGAAATATCCATTAGTTTGGAAAATATCGTCGTTGAACTTCGTTCTCCGTTCAAAGTCGCGTAATGGGATGAAAGTCCTCATAATATCGAGCAATATCCGGGGTACGGTATACCGCAGTGATTGTGCCTTTGAAATATAAATTACGTTTGAATGTCTGTTAACCATGAGCCCCGGAAACGCATGATGAAACAAATAAGGAAATAAGCTTGTATAAAGAGCCAAAAACCTCGGAGGTGCTTAGTTAAGACACTGACGTAGATTGTGACGTCTTTGCAGAGACCTCAGTTTCGAGCGGTCATAAATATTATAATGTTAATGGCTAATCGGCATAACTGTAACTAGACTTTTTAAGCAAAATATATGTGTACTCCTTCTATCGTTTTTAGTATGTTTGTTTGTTTGTTTCATTTTTACGCCTTTTTCCAACAGTATTTCAGTCGTATAGGCGGGTAGTTTCCTAACCATCGTTCCTGGAGAGTTACACCAGTACTAGACTACCTTCCTCCGCGCTAAACTACCAAAGCATCTCCCGGGGATCGAACCCACGCCAGAGAGGTTACTTAATTAGAAGTCATCGACTCTAACCCCTCGACCACGGAGGCGGTTTTTTAGTATGTATCTGTCAGCATTATAGTAATTTAAAAAAGAATATATACCCTACATTGACAGTACGTTGTTTTTCTTTCCAAACATTTCAGGTAATTACCCAACCAGGTCAATCCGGTGTCATCATGACTCAATCACGTCCACCAGACTACATGGTACCATCCATTCTGGCGTGCCTTTGCTGTTTCTGTCCCACTGGACTTTGTGCTATTTACTTTGCACATCGCGTAAGTATACATGAATTTTTATCCAGTTTACATGTCAGGCCATTGAGTGCTTTTGTTGCAGTGTTCTTCCGTCAACACTTCTGGGCCATTATTATCTAATGGTTTATGAGCTGCAATCTGTCAATAATCATCTTAGTTAAAAGCAATTAAAGACGGAAGGAAACCAGATCAGACACCCAATACCCTTACATTAATAGAAGTGCACGTTGAGGCAATTGAACTCTTACATCTGTATTTATAAAGGTTCTGTATGTTGTAATTAAGGATGTAACGTACAGTTAAGTGAGGTTTTATATAAGTATATAATTATTCTTCTTAAACAATTTCCAAACATCCAAGAATATGTAAAATATGTACAGCAAATGATTATTTACGTTGTAACCAAACATTAAAATTATTGCATTCATTTTAATTGGAAAAAAAACACTGGCTTACATATTATTAAAAAATAAATTTCTAATTACCTCCCTTTATTTACATAAAATGTTTCATTCGATAACATGTTTACAAATAATGCTTTTTGAAACTTACAATATTGATATATCTTCATTTGAGCATCATATTTATGATATAAAATCATAAGAACATTGGCGTTACAGGATCTTCAATAACTTAATTTTATGGTCGGTGGAGCGTAATTGCTTTAACCTGCGTATTAGGTCTTTACTTCTTTAGTCTATAAAGTAGTGCCTAAGTACTCTGACAAAATATTTCAAGACAGGATATTCATTTTAACATACTAAAATGTGGCATTTGCAACTAAATAACGTTTGATTGTTACGCTCAAATTTTCTGATTACATTTGTTTTTCTAACACTAAACCTTTGTCGTTTCGTTGCTCCTAAATGGGAGATATGGGCCTTTGTGTTTGATAAGAACACTCTTGTTTGATTAATAAAAGATTCTAGAGTGGAAAGGTTTTTCAAACAATTAGAGAAAGAAACAATTAAGAAAGTAAAGCGGTCTGGTTATGGTATAATCTTCTTCAAATTGTATTTATTGCATACAATTTAGCAATTGTAATTAAGAAGTTGCTCATCAAAAGGAATTTGTTTAATACTAACCAGTGGTATCTTCACTATAAACATGTTTCAAACATCTTAAAATATAACAGTTCTTTTGTTCTTTTTTTAGGCAAACCAGCTTGCAAATGAGGGCGACATGATCGAGGCAAACAGACTGTCAAATAATGCCCGTAACTTGATGATAGCCAGCGTGGTTATTGGCGTGGCTTGGATAATTCTCGTAATCGTACTGAGAGTGGTCGTTTTTGCCACCACCACTACTACATATAATTACTGATCAATGCGCGGGATATAGCCGATACGTGGCCCTGTTTAATACTGCTTGAATTGATCTGACAATATTATATATACAGAGTATTTAGACGCTGACATAAAATGCTGAATAGTCAGTGCTAGTTTTGAAATGGTTTTATGTTTATAGTAAACTGCTTACGATACTATGAAGCTTGTATCAATTCTATTTTTTAAATATACATGTACATGACACTGCTTTATCTAATGAATAGTGATAGTTCAGAGCTTGGGAAGAGCGGTATATTTATAATATATATGTATATAATTTTTAATTCAATGTGTTCAGATCGGATATATTTTTCTAACCATTTTTTTAACCTTCACAATTATTGATAATTTATCAGCAAAACCGAAAAACATTGTACATGATGTTTGACTCTTGCCTTACACACTCTTGTCAAAAGTTAACGTTATATTGTCTATTAAAATTCTTATGATTCTTCTTAAGATATTTGTCATGTTATTATTTCAATACCATAATGAAGGCACATGGTTTTTGTTGGTTTACAGATCATTTGCAATCTTTTGCATCCATTATAGTTTTCACTGTAGTTGAAAAAGTAGTCCCCAGCTCACGTGGTTTTGGTCACATGATCATAATATTCAAAATGTTTGAAGTCAGATTTATACAAAGCTATACAGTCAACGATTTGCTGAGCAGAAATGCATGGATAACTGAAAGATTCAATGGAATACAAAGTTGGGAATGCGATTTTATAAGTATGAAAAATATTTTTGAAACTACATTACTTACCACTTATTGTTTTCTGAAGGAACAAAATGTCTCTGTGCATTTTTATTTCCAATTGAAATTTAAATTTTAATTAGTATTGGGTATAATTTTTGATTGTATAGATTTGCCAGACCTTCTTTTATCTTTTAATTACAAGGCACTGTTATTGAGCCAGTTGCTGAGTTGGTCCCTTGCATAGCATTATAACATATTTCAATGTCTCTGGAAAAGTTTCCTTTACAAGTTACCTTTTATTACATGTTCATAAAGATTCAGACTTGCATCAATGGCTCAGATCACTTATTAACATTTCCTATAATCATCATTATGATGATATAGTATTTTCAAATACGCGTGCATTTGCTCTAGATACATTTGATTGCGCGCCGATTGTCCACAAGGTGTCTTGTGCACAACTGGGGATTAGGTTTGGTGCCTACAGAGTCATTTGTTTGCATAGGTCTATAGCACCACAAAAGCACAAAAGCACTAGAAACACTATCAGTGATTAGATACTTAGCATCAAGTCCATCACCATGACGACCGAGGGAAGTTATTAGCTTATCTATGGTAGTCTAAATTAAGCTGTTGCAGAATGATCAAGACTCGTTGTTGCATTATGTTTCATGTTTATTATGGAAGCCTAGTTTTGAACAAAGGCTGCTGATTTGTTCTGCAATTGTTGAACGTTATCGTCTCTGCGACAGTGTATGATATAGAGGATATTTGTTTGTTTTGCATGTAAGATTGAAATATAATTTCACTGAGTGAACACCAGATGCAATATTTTCACGAGTGGCGTAGCCACTAGTGAAAATATAATAGCTGGTGTTCACGAATGAAATATATTTCAATCTTATATGTAAAACAAATAAATTTTCTTTTTATTTCATGCTTTTTAAGGGATTTTAAGTATATTTTTACTGATTTTGCCGTGTAACGTCACGCATTCTCCTATGTGACGTCATCATATCATGACGTCACATCATCAATTTTGAAATAAAGTTCTGTTAATTTTCTCTAATTTTGTTACATTTTTACATGATGTATGATGAAATCGACTTTCTTTTCCTAAAGAAGTAAAATTTACGCATGACGGCAATTATTTCTGCTTGTTATTTCATTTAGTTATGATTTTCTTTTCATCCGCATTCAGATATAGTCCGGCTACAGTGAAAATTATATTTTATAAATTTCACTAGTGGTTTATCAGAATATAATCATCTGATATATTACAATAAAACACTGGAAAACATGAAATAAATCTGAATTGCAGACCGAAAAGTTGTCCTTTTAATGAAATAAATCGTTTAATTTATCTCATATTCAGGTAGCCTGTACCTTGATAACGTTGCAGACTTCCTTTATGTTCTGTGTATTTATTTCAGTTTTTCTGTTCGTATTTCTTAGTTTCTTTACAATCAACTCCATTGGCAATGAGGAAGGCAATAACGGAAGCTTGTATACTACCTTTAAAATCATTTTGTTCTGACGTTCACTGAAGCTTTATAAGCTTGAGTAAAAGCCTAGCAATAGGGGCAAAGACAGATAGAAGCAAGGCTTCTTTTACATTCGAGTTGCATTACATTTTGGTCTGGATTGATCAGTTAGTTTGAATATATGCAACTTATAGCTGTCATTGATTTTGTTCCTGTGTTTTGTTGTTGAAACATTTGTGCCATTGTTGGTTTGGTCACACAGACCAACAGACCACTAGTGTTATAGAGTTTGAAATGTCAGATTGTGACCCGAAATATTTTGACTCCCGTTTGCTGATTTGCATAGAACCTGTAAACATTCTGTTTTAAGACATAGTAAAGGCAGTGCATGTGCTAGTGAGGCAGAGTTACTACTGTCTGAGCGGTTTTAATTGTACGAAGATATATAAAATGGCGTTACTCTAGTAATGATATATGAAAACATGGCTATAAAGAAATGATATGACCAGCAAAACACTTTTTTATTTAGTATTACTGATTAACAAGCCAAAATCTTAAATATGCAACATTCAGTCACTTTAAAAATGTCGTGTCTAAGTGACTCAAGCTAAATTGAATTTAAAAAGAGTAAACATTTTCAAAGTTATATCGGCCCGTCTACTGAATCTCTGTAAATGCTGTGTGTGCTTTTGATATACATGGTAATACACTGAAGATCTATATCAATTTTGAGTGCATTGGTGTTGAAGAATGCACGGTTCAATATCAAATGTGTAGCATTTAAAAGGGGTGGGGAGGTGGGCGTCATACCTTAAAGATTGTAACTTCATTACAGACTATTTAATAGAACGTAAGTTTAAACCTTGTAAATTCATTAAACTTAAGGCTATTATACGTAAGGGGAGGTAACCAGAGTTTAACTTTGGTAACAAAAAGTCATGTACACTGTAAGTCTGAATTCATTCAACATAAATACTAAATAAACCACACGTCCGTATTAGTCCTTCATTTAAATTATTATTCACCACAATCACAGCTGGCTGAACAGTACTGTCAACATTTCTCAAAATATTTTTTAATGAAAACGAAGTAAAATCTACATAATTATTAACTTAACCACAGTTTCACTATGATCTGATTCACAACATTACCTAATAATCGTTTGTTTTTCTGAAACCGCGAAATGATTCACAGTGTACTTACGAGTAAACCACCATTTATGCAAATTATCTGTACTTTAAAATTAATCATTAATCATTTTCAAAAATAATAATTTGTCATTGTGTCTGTCACTCTGAAATTTGCAGGCCTTCTCAGAAAGCATCTTTGAACCGTCTGAATTTTTTTTTATTTCAAACACTAAAAGCAAATGAACTGCAAAACTCTTTGCTTCGTTTCACTAAAAAAGTGTATCATTTTGATATTCACATATCAAAGTCACGTTTCGTTTGTAAACTGTAAGATATTATGTCTTGCTACCTTTCAAATAAATGATGAAAAATTATCTAATAAATTATCTCGTATAGATGATGATAATCATTACAAGCTACATTATCATCTCCTAAAATTATTTTAAACAACAACAACGACAATAACATGCAGTAACAATGTATTTTGTGGTTGAAATATTGTGTCAACGTTCAGTCAATGTGTCCTCGTTTTCAATATACATGTATTTTCATTTTTTTAAATCAATTTTTAATCGTTGTCGGGTGGACAAAGTTGCTGACTTCAAAGCATTTCTCGATCACCACTGTGGGCTAAAATTCCGCCACACCCTTTGGATTCTTTCATGCGAGAGAGCTATCAAGCTAGCTTTCCTGACGCCAGATCTGTTAATTCCACTCTGGTTCCGGTTCATGTCTGAAAGAAGTTTCTGGGATCTTCCCCTACCAGTTATGTTAAAAAGTCGTTATGTGACCTTACCTGACATTGAGTCTGTTCATAATATTTTTCAATACTTTTAGTTCTAAATCTTATATATGACTACGATTTTTATTCCGATCAAACATCAAAAGGATATATAGAATCATAACCCATATATGATTATTGCATAACACAGGCATGTTTGCCGGAGCAGTTTACTATGCATAAAATCACGTACGACAAATTAACTCCGTTCATAAGTTGTAAGTGCCGTTCAGAATTGTTAAAATCAATTAACAAGCTGCGAGCTATCATTCGATTTTTAATAAACAAGGAAAAAGAAAACAACAACAGGAAACCAGACAAACTGTAAATCTACAACAAGGTCAACACAAAATAGTTTACGTGCCGTATGATAAATACTCAAACTTCTGTGTTCCTGCTTTAAAACATGTAAATGGGATTGACTAGTATTAAACATCCTTCTCGAATCCTAGAGGTTTGTTTTATCCGAGATATATCTTATCCAAGGTTTGTTTTATCCAGCCTCTTTTATCCCAAACCAAAAATGATAAAAAAGATATGTAGAATCCCGACCTTTATATAATTATTGCAAACACTGACCTTCACATGGTAAAGATGAAAACAAACGCTTTACCCAAAATTAAATGATCAATCCATTTCAATTCTATAGATAACATTAAACATTTACCATGTTCATAATTATAGTATTATATACAGTATTTTTACAATATACATAGCGACAAAAGTTAAGGATTTCAGTTTGTAAAATCAATAGACAAACTGAGCTAACATTTATTTTTAAGGAAGGGTTATGACAAACAAAAGAAATTGCCAAGCAGTGAAACAACCAAAAATAGGTAACCATGAAAACAAGGCCAATCAGAGCGTTAGTCTACAAGCAAATCAATACAAAATACCTTACACACTCAATTAGTGATGTTTCTTCTTTAAAATGTGTATTTTGGACTGACTTTAGATAACACATTCTTTTCAAATCCCTTTTTATCCAAAGGTTGTTTTATCCAAGGTTTGTTTTTATCCAAGGTCTGTTTTATCCAAAGGTTGTTTTTATCCGAAGTCTGTTTTATCCAAGGGTTGTTTTTATCCGAGAACTGTTTTTATCCGAGGTC